TTTTAGAACAATAAATATTTTAGAAGGAGACTCTGCTGAGCCTTGTCCAAAATTCTACGGATCTCAGGAGCCAGGAAATGACAGATCTTTTTATTTTTCTTGGCCATGCAGCGCAGCACGGGGGATCTAGTTCTCTGATCAGGGATCGAAGCCTCACCCCTTGCATTGGAAACCTGGACTCTTAACCACTGGACCACCAGGGAAGTCCCCACAACACATCTTCTTAAACAAAACAAGTCTGATCCTTAGCTAACTCCAGCAAAATGAAACCTCTCTCAGCTCGGCAAACTCTCTTCTTGACGGACCAGAGGCTGACAGCTCAATAAACACAACCCCTAAAAAGCCTTTAGAGACATTTTTCTTCCGGGAAGCTGCTATCTGCAGCCTGTGAGCAGTTCAGTTGTTGTCTAGCCACTCAGTCGTATCCGGACTCTTTGCAACCCCATGGACTGTAGCCTGCCAGGCACCTCTGTCTGGGGGATTTCCCAGGCAAGAATGCTGGAGTGGGTAGTCACTTCCTTCTCCAGGGGAATCTTCCCAGCCCAGGGATGGAACCAGCAGCTCCTGCATCAGCAGGTGGATTCTTTACCACTGACTCACCAGGAAGGCCAAGTGGTCTACTAGTTAAGGCAATTACCCTTCTCCTCCAGCAAAAACGCTCAGGCTTTCCATAAGCTTTTTACTGCTACTAATCACAGACAGCACCCAAAGAGCTCCTGCCTCAGGGCCTTTGCACTTGCCGTGCCCTCTTCCTGAAGTGCCCTTCCCGAGTTTTCTTCTCTGCATCTTTTCGTTTTAAATATTGTGACTCGGAGTTTTTTTGGCTGTGCTGGGTCGTTGTGGCTACGACCAGGCTTTCTCTACTTGCAGCGCAGGCTTCTCACTGAGGCGGCTCCTGGTGTTACACAGCAAGGCTCTAGGGTGCTCGGGCTTCAGCGTTGCAGCACACGAGCTTCGCTGCCCCGGGACACATGGAATCTTCCCGGGCAGGATCCGCCCATGTCCCCTGCGTCGGCAGGTGGATTCCTGACCACCGAGCCACCAAGGAAGCCCTCTTCTCTACGTCTTTGCTAGAACGTCACCTGTTCCCTTGAATGACCACCCTACCTACCGCTGCAGCCCTCCATCTCTGAACACCCGGACCGTCCTCCCTGGCTCCAGGAGCTATTGACCTGGCTGGGGATGGGACGAAAGACTTCCCTGAGGAGACGCCCTGAAGCTGAAGGCAGTGAGTGGCTGAGTCACGTGGCCGTGTGCGGAGGGGCATCACAGCCCCGAGGCCGGACACGGGCATGCTGAAACCAGATTTCCCAGCTTCCCATTTCTTAGCCAGCTGCTTTGGGCTGGGCCCTCAGCAGCTAGCCCCGGGGAGCCCCTCCGGCTTCAGTGACCACATTGTCCCACACCATGACTGACCACCGCCTTGGTGCCATCTGCCTGCCTAGAAGGTCCTCCCACCACCACCTCCAAAAGTCACCCTTCACTGGGCTTCCCTGATTGTCCTCAGCTCCTGGCTTCCAAGACATCTGCTCTGCACTTCTATAGAGCTCCTCTCACGTCTTGCCTCTGGCTGTAAGCACTGGGCACTACTACCCTCTAAGCACTGAGTACTGTTACTCTCTAAGCACTGGGTGCTATTACTCTCTAAGCACTGGGTACTATTACTCTCTAAGCACTGGGTACTATTACTCTCTAAGCACTGGGTGCTATTACTCTCTAAGCACTGAGTACTATTACTCTCTAAGCACTGGGTACTATTACTCTCTAAACACTGGGTACTATTACTGTCTAAGCACTGGGTACTATTACTCTCTAAGCACTTGGTACTGTTACTCTCTAAGCACTGGGTACTGTTACTCTCTAAACACTGGGTACTATTACTGTCTAAGCACTGGGTACTATCCTGTCTAAGCACTGGGTACTATTGCTCTCTAAGCACTGGGTACTATTGCTCTGAGTTCTTCCTCAACTAAAAGGTGAAGACTCTCAAGGCAGAGACCATTTGATTCAGGAGACTCTGCAGCGCCCACTCATGCCTTGCACACAGTAGGTCTGCAGTGAACGCTCATCAGTGACTCACTACCCCATCTGCTACAGGGTCGTGTGTTGGTCCTTGTGACACTTCATTCTTTCAAAGTGCTTCAGAAAGACAGAGGCTGTTTGATAACAGGATCAAGAAGCCACAGGGAAGAACAGAAGCTCTCGCCTCACGTCCTCAAAGCCCAGAACACAGGACCCGCTCCTTCTGATCAGAAGATAAAAGGGCTTGATGGGCTGTGGGCCTTTGTCATTGATGGGCTGTGGGCCATTTCTCCATCCTGATGTGGTGTGGAGCAGAGAGGAGGCTCAGAGCAGAAAAATGAAGAGAAACTCTGTAATCAAGGGGGAAAGCACAAAGAAAAATAGCTTTGCCTGGTCTCAAGAAAAAAAAAAAACCTGGAGGATGTCTCTTCCGAGCATGGAGAAGGTAGGTGAGTAAAAAACAGGACAAGACAGTAAACACGGCCTAGCGCTATGCGCTAGGGATCCAGTGCTCAGTAGCCCAGCAGATTGAAGCTGCAGACCGACCCGTATCACAGCAGAGAAACTGAGGCAGAGAGGCGCTGAGAGGGCCGGAGCTGGCCACCCCTGACTCTGCACTGAGGGAGAGGCTTTCACGGTGAAAGCTGCTGAGTCGTGTCTGACTCTTTGTGACCCAATGGACTGTACAGTCCGTGGAATTCTCCAGGCCAGAATACTGGAGTGGGTAGCCTTTCCCTTCTCCAAGGGATCCTCCCAATCTAGGGGTCGAACCCAGGTCTCCTGCATTGCAGGCGGATTCTTTACCAACTGAGCTATCAGGGAAGCCCTCCAGGCTGTCACAAGAGGCCCCAAAACTCAGCGCGACACACCCGCGCCCCCCTGGGGATGGTTCACGTTGTCCTCAGTGGTCTCCAGTACAGCTGCTTTCCAACCTTTATCTTTTGCCCCCAAAGGAAACACAACAAAGCTCAGCCTAAAGGAGCCCAGAGTCGGGGCTGGGCAACCCAGGCCCCAGGAGACCCCAAGCTGCCCCGAACAAGGGAGAAATCCACCCCATTCCTGACCCTTCCTGACCCTTGTGGGGTTTCCTTTAAGGCAGCCCCCAGTTACCTGCTTCAGGAAACTGAGGTCTGCCGTGAACATCTGTGAAAAGTGACCTTGGTAAAAGCGAAAGCAGAGCTGCACAGTCAGCCCGGGCCGCCTGGCGGCCAGAGGGAGGGCTGGGGTGCAGGCATCCCCGGAGTGTCCCAGGGTCACCGGGGTGATGCTGCCCACGCGGGCCCCTCTCCAGCTCCAGGAGCCTTCGGGATCTAGGGGCCAGCACCACCTGACACATTACACGAAGCGGAGAGCCTTCCCCAAGTTCAACTGCGCTGTCAAGTTCGACCATACCTGCAGGGGTTCCAGTCTGCCTGAGCCCGGCCCGGATCACAGGCAGGGGAGGAACACCCGCGCGCGCCCGAACCCGCCCCGGGATAAACCAAAGGCACCCGACTCCCCCGGTTTCCAAGGAGACGCACATCCTTCCCATCAGTGTGGGATGCCCCCCAGCAAAGGCCCTGCGCTCCGGCTGCACGCCAGGTGGAGACCGCCCATCCCGCGGGACCCAGGGACCGTGACAGCCAGGGAGACCGCGGTCACTGTCGGCTGGGCACCGGCCCCCCGGGCACCTGGCCGCCGCGCTCACACTGCGGCTTGTCTCCTCCCGCGACTTTGGTGGGCTGAGTTCCGAGAGCCAGTCCTTCTCCAGCCAACTTTTTCTTTCTTTTTTTCTCGGTGTTTCTCATCGTCCCTGAGTCTTGTCATGACTCATGGATCCCTCGTGCTTCTCCCCACCCCCACGCCCGCCTGCCCTGCGGGTGTGCTCCTCCGCCCGGCTGTGCTCCCAGCCGGGGACCTGCCCGGTGGAGGGGGGCGCGGGGTGGCCCCCGGCTCTCCGCGGTGACCGTGCGGATAGCCCAGTCGGAGATCGCGTCGGCCGGCCACCGCGTGGGTCACCGGGAGCGGCCGCGCGTGGGCAGGGGGAGGGATGCGAGGAAGCAGGGGGTCCCAGAGCCAACTCCTAACCCGGGAGGCGAGCAGAAGCCGATCCGCGCTAGGGAGTGGAAGGGAAAGCTCAGGGGCAGCGAGAGGGCCGAACCCTGGGGGCGCTGGGGGCGACTGAGGCATTTTGCAGAAGGGGTTTCCCCTGCAGGCGAGGAGGGTTGACCGTCAGAGTGGACCCGGAGTGATGGGACCCGCGAGACGCCCCAACTCAGATCCCAGGGCGGGCCCCAGGGGAGCATCGGAAGACTCCGCGGGCGGGAAACTAGAAGGGGCTGCGGTGAGCACGCGGGTCTGGCGACGGTCCCCGCGGCGCTGTGACCTCGGAGCAATCGTGCTGCTCCCTCCGGCCCGGGATGGGCAAGCCGCCCAGGGCGCCGCGCACGCCGCGCGCCCTTGGAGCCGGGAAACGGCACTCTCGGCCGAGGCAAAGTCACCGCCGGGCGGGGACCGAGGAGGGCGGAGGGGCCCCGAACCCCGCGCGGCGCGCTCTTACCCGGCCGTTGCGATCGGTCTCCTGCACCTCCTCGGCGCTGGGCCCCCGCCGCACCAGTGCCCTCAGCAGCCCCACGTCGTTGGCGCAGGCGGCGCGCAGGAGGGTCGCCGCCTCCGGGACGCCCTCCGGAACGGCCTCCGGAGCGCTCTCCGCGCTCACCGAGCTGTACTCCTCCTCGTCTCCGTAAGGGTAGAAGGAGTCGTCCGAGGCGATGCTGCGGGTGTCGGGCAGACTTGAGAAGTCCTCGTACTCCTCGTAGTCAGCTGGGTCCTCCCCGGCCTGCGCGTCCCGGGGTGGGGACGGTGGCTCTGGGGACACGCGGCGCGCCCCGCCGCCCTCCGGCCCGGGCCCGGCCAGCAGCACCATGCCTGCGGCCGGGGCGCGGGCCGGGGGGCCGGAGAGCGGGCCGGGAGCCGGGGAGGCCGGGCGCGCACCGAGGTCACCGCCCCTTGTCCCCGGCAGCCCCAGAAAAGCAGGAGGGCTCTGCGCGCTCCAGCTCGGCGGAAACGCGCGCCGGGCGGCCGCGCTCCAAGACTCGAGTCACCGGAGGCTGGAGAAAGCCCCTCGAGGGTAGGAGGAGCCGCGGGGGCTTTCCGAGCGCGGCGGGCGGGCGCGGGCGGGGACCGCGCGGGAAGCGGGCGGGGGTGGCCGAGCCCGAGGAGGCGCGCGCCCCGGGGTCCCGCGCCGCACCCCCCCCCCCAACCCGGCGCGATCCTGGCAAAAGTTAAGAGTCAACCAGGGGGCGCCTCGGCCCCGCGGGTTCGGTGCAGCCGGCTGCTGTGCCCGGGAGCTGAGAAATGCGCACGCGGGAGAACCAGAAGCGACTACTAAAGAACCCGAACGCCCTCGTGGCTGGCGGCCCCGCCCCTGCTCTCGGGATGAGAGTGAAGGTGGGGGTCGGAGGACGCAGCGGGCTGAGCCGTCGGGAACACCAAATCCCTGGGCCCGGTGCCGCCCCGGGCGTCAGGCCTGCGGGCTGGGGGGTAGTTTCTCAGCGTCTGAGACACCCAGCCTGTTTGTGCATTTTTTTCCGGGAGCCTGGGCTCCGGGGCCAACTTCGCTCCCGAGTTAAGACCGCCCTGGACACCGAGGACGGGTGGAAGCGTGGGAGATGGTGTCCAGCTGGGGACCCTGCCCCTCTGAACCGGGAGCTCCGGGATGCCCCGGGGACATCCCAGGCCGAGACAGGGCTGGGGACCCGGCAGAGGACCAGGGCCGGCAGTCACTTTCAGATGGCTTCTCAAAGAGCGCCCCGGAGCCGCTGTCCTGGAGTCGATGGGGGGGAGGGGGGTGACATTTGGGGGGGAAGGAGCGCCTCCAGGCCCGAAGAGTTCCCCCCTCCCTCACCCTGGCCAGGGTCCCTTTATCTGCGGAGTCGAGACGGATTCACGGGCGGAAGCCACCACCCCGGCTCAGACTAAGCGGCTCCTTGCCAAACAGAGAACCGGCCCGCAGCGGCGGCCCGGGTCCCATCCCCGAACCCCACCCCACCCCAGCCCCCCCAGGCTGGAGCCTGGCCTACCCACCCCCACCCCGTCGGTCCCAGCGCAGGGGGTGAGGACCCGCCGCGGGGAGCCTCTGACCTCCTAGAGGAGGACGCACCGTGGGACCGCGGGGGCAAATCCTCATGGAAAAAGGACGGGGGAGATGTGGCGTGAGGGCTGGGGCCGTCGGGGGGCGTCGCCTCTCGGACAGAAAGCACTTCAGATCCAGGGGCGGATGCGGAGACCACGGGTGAAACAGCGCCTCTTTCTGTCTCCTCACCCTCCTTTCCTTCTTTAATTTCCACCGCTCTTGACGGCGTGCCTACCAGCTGCCAGTGCCTGAGAGGCCCTTGGGGCGCAAAGGTGACCAAAACCAGGCAACCGCAGACGCTGGGGACAAACTAGAAGATTCCAGGCCCGGGAGGGCAGACTGAGGGCCACAATGGGGAACGCGGTCAAAGACACCACCGGGATGGTTGGCGGAGCCTGAGTGAGGTTCCAACTGCCTAGGCCTCTGCATCTCGGGCCCCTGGCCTTCCAGTGCGACGCGCCGGTGCTGATCCCCTCGGCCTCCAGGGTCCGCCGGGCTGACCGGGAACCTGGCATCCCCGAGGTCGGGAGGACGGGGGCTGCGGGAGAGGTGGACGCCAGAGCGAGCCTTGAGCCGAAAAGTGAACCCGGGTGCACCGGCCTCCTGTAGTCCGGGGCTTTCTCTCTGAAGCCAAAAATACCCCGGGTCATAGTTTGCTTTTTCTTTTCTAAGTAGCCATATTTACATAAATCCCCACTAGAAATTTCCACCTTTCAAGACTGACCACTGTTTTTGGTGTTTCCAGAGGCTAAATGAAGTCAGGGGATTTTTACAAATTGAAGTGACCCTCCCCCTCTGCCCAGGCAGAGAGGTGAGTTTGCTAACCCTCCCCTCCTCTCAGCCCAGGCCAGCTGCGTGATATCCGAGTATCCAGAGGGCTGGGACGGGGGTCCCCGGGGGTGGGGCAGGGGCCTTGCCCGGCTGTGGTGCTGGAGTGGGGAAGTGGACCCCCAGGAGTGGGCAACTCCTAAGTCCTCATCCCTGGGTATTTCACCACCAAAGTTAAGTTCTATCTTCAGAGTTCACCACTTCCTCCTTTCCTTCCTTGGAAATTTGGTTGCAAATACCACTACATGGTTTAACCTTTAAAGGTAAACTTCTGAAATGGTCAGCTCCAAATAAAAACTAGCCTTTTGTGAGGGATCCAACTTCAAACCAAACTGGCTTTCCCCTTTAGAAATGCTGCCCTTTTACCACAAAGACAAGAGATGCTCAGTGTTGTGAAAGAACACACAATTAGGCTTTGGGGATTTTAAGTCAACATTATATGTACAAAATCTACGCAAGAAGGAGAAAGCAGCTTATCAAAATTGCCAACACACTCAGGAGAACTCTTAAATAGGTAACATTTTCCAGAACTGTATTTGACCCAAGACAGTTAACGTTTCAATGGAATAGCTGAATTCAATTCTTTAGATTGATGATGTTTAAGTTTTTTGTATTAATATTCTATTTTTTTCCCTTGAACTTTTTATTTTGTATTGGGGTATAGCTGATTGACAATGTTGTGATAGTTAAGTTTTATATATGTATAGCAGTTAAACAGCTGGTTGATTCAGTTGAATAATTTGTCCTTGGGCTATTTAAAAAAAAAAAAGATTCACTATTTTAGTTATATTTCTCAAAGTGGCCACCTAACTGTAATAGCTATAACAGGAAGGTCTTAAAAAATTACAAGCAGTGTATTTATAGACTGAAAACTGAATGCACCTGTGATGGCGCACTCCCCACAAAATTTGTTTAGAAAGCAAAATGAGATGACCTAGTGGTGGAGCCAACCTGGACCCTCCCCGTGTGTGTGTGCGTGCTAAGTCGTTTCAGTCACTTCAGACTCCTTGCAACCCCACAGACTGCAGCCCACCAGGCTCCTCTGTCCATGGGATTCTCCAGGCAAGAATACTGGAGTGGGTTGCCATGCCCTCCTCCAGGGGATCTTCCCAACCCAGGGATCAAACCCACATCTCTTAAGTCTCCTGCGTTGGCAGGTGGGTTCATTGCTCATCAAATAACCAAGGTCCCACCCTCTAGAATAGAACGAATGGCAGAATGATTTTAAGCGTTTCATATGTCTGACGTTTAGCACACAGTAACTGTTGACTTTCATTATCATGAAAGTTAGAGTATCCATTCACCATATGATATAAACTACTCTGCAGCACCGACTGCTCAAAATGTGTTGCCCTATTTGCCAAGAGAACTACCCACATGAGGTGAATGAGAAATGCTTTTCATTTTTTCCTTTGGAAGGCAGTGCACCTTGGGATAAAGTGCAGACTGTGTTATCTGACAAACTGACTTCTGATGACATCTCCTCCACTGTTGAGTTGCAATCATAATAGTTCTAGATCTTGACTGAGTTACACCAGTATTTGACCAACTCCTAGTCTTGATATTAAGGATATTCCCAGAATTTTCCTACTGTATCTGTAAAGAAAGAAAAAAAAAATGTTGCTGGCCATTCCAGTTCTACAAGGATCAAGTCATAAGGCATTGCAGTCACCCACTGACAGGGGAATTCAGAATGGAAAGAGAAAAAAAAGGAAATATTTTGTGCTTTGAATGTCTGCCCCTAGATGGTTAAGATACACATCTAAGGAGAAATTTCCATGATCCTAGATTCTTGCATCTTTCCATACAGAGAAAAGCACTAAACTCTTTAATTTGAGATGTTTGTCTGTTCTTTGTGATTCACAGTGATCTTTTGACGTCTGTTTCCATGTTTTTTTTTCCAGAAAATTATATATATAGGTCCCGCAGCAGCAGCAGACAGTAATCTGCCTTCAGGGCAGGAAACTCAAGTTTGATCCCCGGGTCAGGAAGAGCCTCTGGAGAAGGGAGTGACTACCTACCCCAGTACTGTCTGGAGAATTCCATGGACAGAGGAGCCTGGCAGGCTACAGTCTATGAGGTCACAGAGTCAGACATGACTGAGTGACCAACACTTTCACTTTCCTGTTCCACTCCGTACCTCTTTCAGGGCAGCTCCTCGGAGTTATCTGAGAGGCTGTTTCCCAGACTATATCCTCAGTAAGGTCTCAATAAAACTTAACTCGCAGATTTTGCATGCTGTGCTTTTATTTCAGCACCTGAAACAGGAGAGAAGGAGGCTGGGCACAACCTTTGGAAGAAAGACACAGCCGTGAGGACACGACAAAAACTGGGTTAGAACCAAGGAGGTCCAAGATGGCGGAAGATTCAACTTCCGGTGGACCGTGAGCCGCGTTACGTGCTCATTATAATATGCACTCCTTATGCTCACTATGCTCTCATTATGTGCTCATGGCCAGGCTCCTCTGTTCATGGAATTTTCCTGGCAAAGATACTGGAGTGGGTGGCCATTTCCTTCTCCAGGGGATCTTTCTGACCTAGTGCTCGAACTTGGGTCTCTTGCATTGCAAGCAGATTCTTCACCATTTGAGCCAACAAAGAAGCCCCTATTATATTAGCATCTAAATGACACCTCTATCAGCACCATGAAGTGAAAAGTGAAGGTGAAGTTGCTCAGTCGTGTCCAACTCTTTGTGAGCCCATGGACTCTAGCCTACCAGAGTTGCCATTTCCTTCTCCAGGGGATCTTCCCGACCCAGGGATCAAACCTGGATCTCCTGCATTACTGGCAAATGCTTTGCCCTCTGAGCCACCAGGGAAGCCCAGCACCATGACAGTTCATCAGAGGCTAACCATAAAAGACCCAAAATTGGGGGTATCCCACTTCTTGAAAACTGCCAACCCTTCACTGAAATAGTTAGAATAATTCTCCCACTCCTTCGCCTACGAAAGTATTCAGCCCATAAAAACTATAACCACCCAAAATGTCCAGGCCTCTCACCTTCTGAGATGGTCCACATTCTGTGTGGTGTGTTTCTCTCAAGGCCCATCTTGCCTTTTGAGGTAGACTGCATTCTGTCTATGAAATGTATATCTCTCTAAATAAATCCAGTTCTTACCTATCACTTTGTCTCTTACTGAATTCTTTCTGCTACAGACGTCAGGAACCTGAGCTTGGGGAATGCACTGTGGTCCAGTGGTTAGGACTTTGTGCTTCCACTACAGGGGCCATAGGTTTGATTCCTGGTTGGGGAAGTGAAGGGTAACTAAGCCCACACATCACAACTAGAGAGTCCAGGGCCCACAGTGAAAGATCCTGCATGATGCAATGAAGATCCCCTGTGCCAAAACAAGACCTGATGCAGACAAATAAATAAAACAGGTAAACAAAATATTTTAACAACAACAAACAGAAAGACTGCACCTTCAAGTCCCAATCTAGGTTTGGGCCAGGTTCCAGTCCCAGCCCTTGGTTCAAGTCCCATCTGATTTGCATGGTTTCAGCAATCAAATAGAAGTAACTTAGCATGTCCTGGAGTCCATCTACAGAATGACTGAGCCAGATTATCCATCTGACCTACTTAGAGATATAAGGGACAGTCTCTTGTGTATTTCTGGCTCTCCTCATTAAAGAGATTAACTGCTCTCTGGCCCTAACTCCATTCAGTGGACAGTGATGTGATCCCTTCTGTTCTAATCGGGATTGGTGGAGCCATTTAAGAACTTCATTTTCTTTCAGGGAGGATTTCTGCCCTTGTGGGTAAATATTTGGAAGAAGTATGTGCATGTGTGCTCCTCACTGCCAACTCTTCTGCCTTGTTTCTGCTCTTGATGGGAATTACAGATAAAAGGGTATAACTAGAGAAGCCATGTTTACTTCAAGGACAAAAGTCCTTGGCTCCTCATCTGAATAAAAGTGGTTGGATTTTTAAGGTTAATTTAGGGAGTCATGTGTGATATAAAAAGCTATGCAAGGAACTACTCAGCAGAAGACTACACGACCCACCCAGGCCTTCTACCCTAGGAACAGGACAAACACCCATTTTTTCCCCATCACCACCCTTTTGTTCATGCACCTATAATAGTTTCTATTACTGTTTTCCAACAATTTTTTGCAAAACTGTCTTCCTTCTTATAACCTGAGAATTCACAAAATTCAAGGACCAGGTCTTACTTTTTTTTT